TGGTTGTGTTATTTGACCTTCCTATTTTGTATCCTACATGTAGAAAATGCTGCAGTAAAGCTAACCAAAATGCTAAGCCAATTAAAGAAGTGCATATTTTTGATGGAGACCAGAGGGCTGGGAGCAAGGAGCTATTGATTGCTGCTGACCTGGGCTGGATTTGAACTGTTAGATTAGATTAGATTTAAGGAAAAGTATTAGAGGCTTTTGAATCTTTGACTGCAGCTGCAGTCCTAGGCTGTGCTGAGCTGTGCAGGGCTGCATTTCTATTCACTGCCTGGAAAGAGGCAGATTTAGTCTTGGCTTAGCTTTTCAAAATTCCGCCTGTCCAGTACAAATAACTTCTGTTCCTTTGGACTTGCAAATAAAATATCTCATCACAAGGGTGGCAGAAAAGATTTTGTGTCTAATGTAGTAAAATTTCATGAGAGGCCTGGCAAAACTATGTTCGATTGGCAGAGCCAGGCTACTTTTGAAGTGTTGCCTTGAGAATGCACTGTGCTAGAAAGCACCACCCTGATGTTTCTCATTTCATATTAGCCCAGACACTAAAGCATTCTAGGTAATATTGTCAAATGCTTTTCTTCCCCAAAGGACCTATTAGTGTCTCATGACTGATTTATTTCTCAGTCGATTTTAGCCATTATGCCTAGGATAGGTTGTCTACTCGAGAATTACCTGGCTTGCTTTATGTTCTGGAATTGCGGTGGGGTGCAACCTTTGCCCACTCCAGTCTGATTCCAACTTTGTACTGGCCACAGTTCAGTCATTGTCAGCTTGAAAACGGTCAGAAATGAAATGTCTGAAATGTTAGCGACAAAGCGAGAGGCTGCAGGCTTTATTGCTGTAGCACGAGGGGGGGGGACCCACAGGCCAGATCCGGCCCACTCCTTCATTTCATCTGGCCTGTGGCACGTTTCCACACCGGGGGCTATAATCCCAAGCCTTGGCCCATAGGGGCTGGAGCAACAAGCACTAGCTCATCAGCATGTCCTTGTAGCCCCTGCATGGAGGGACAATCATGGGGAAGCTCTGCATGCTGCCTCCAGTGCCAGCTCCACATTTTCCATTTCCTGGGAACCACAGTCAGTGGGAGCTGTTGGCATGGGCAACATGCACTTTGCAGAGCTGCCTGACCTCTCCACATAGGGACCAAACACGGTAGCCGCTTACAGCAGCCACATGGAAGCCTGCCTTAGCCCTACTCAGCAACCTGAAGGAAGTGCCACCAGGCTGGAGTCTGCACTCCTCATCCCCTCCCGCACCCTAACTCCCTACCCCAGGTTGGAACCCTTTCTCACACCACAATTCCCTCCCAGACCCCGCACCCAACCTGAACCCCTCCCATACCTCCCTGTCTTATCCCCAGCGGCCACACTCCCAGCTGAAGACTTCATCTTCTCCCACCCCTCCACCCTCACCCCCCGACCCAGCCCTGAGCCCTTGCCTGCATTCCAACTCCTCGATCCAGGCCGGAGCCTCCTCCTGCACCCTAACTATCACCCTAAATGCAGATGCAGACATGGATCAAGTTTACATCTCTAAGGTCTTGTCTACACTGAAAAGAAGATCGCTGCTGCTGCTATTGATCTTCCGGAGTTTGATTTAGTAAGTCTAATTAAGACTCGCTAAATCAAACTCAGAGGGAGCCCCTGCCAGCATCGACAGGAGGACGGGAGCGTTTGCTTCCATTAGCCCGAGCCTCACCTACTCCTTCACCTCTACCCTCTGCCTCACCCAGGAACTCCCTCCCTCGGCCTGAACCCCTAATTTCTGGTCCAACTCTGGAGCCTACAGGAAGACCCAAGCCTCTGTGTGCACCCCCCTCCCGTGTCATGGGGCTGTGGTTGGCCTCCAACTGCTTTTATTCTGTGGGACAATTACCCCGATAGAAAAAGATTCCCAACTCCTGCTTGTAGCTGCAAGGCCCTGCAAAGGGCAATGTGCAGCCCAGCCATCTGTGATCTCCATTCTTCTAGTGCAGGCATGTCTTCCTGAGTAAAGGCTGACTCAGGAGGGCTTGGTGCAGAGAGGCCAAAATGAAGTGCTGTTCACCCTCAGGACACATACTGCAGAGCTGTCTGAAACTCCTGACATGGTTAAATGGGACTTTTTTTAATATTGAAATTGAAGTTGCAGACTCCTAGGGGAAAAAAGGGGAACATGTCTGGAATTCCCCAAATAAGCACCACTTCTCCCACCTGTGTACCACCATGCCTGCGATAGCCTGGGTCCTGGCTCTGTAACCAAAGAGAGTGGATCACAGATCTACAGATCTTGCTTGAAACAGAAACTCCCTGAAATCAGAGTTTCAGATCCTAGATGGGTTAACTTGGTCCTTCTACCTTGTGAGGGGGATACATTAATGTGAGTAGGGAAGAGGTTGAGTGTTTTGGACAAGATCTTGCAAACAGAACTCTTATGTGCACCGCAGGGATATTAAAGGTCTCATGGCACTATTTGGAAGAGGTATAACTTAGAGGACAAAATCTATCTGTTTTTACCTCCCAGAAAATTGCTGTGCCACGTGCTGTCCACTGGTTGGTGCTGCCTTCCACAGACGGCTGTGTTTCTGCAGTGCTGTTTGAGCATTGCTTGTGAAGTTGTTTGGGAGCATTCAGGCTCAAAGGCAGTATAACTGTAGGTGGTTATAAAACAGGGCTTGATGGCCCTTGAGCAGGATTTAGTGAGGTGTTAATGGTAGAGCCCCTTTGTAGTAATGAGGGAAGAGACAGCTGTATTATGGTGGTTCATAATATCAGATACTAATAGAGCTGTAAGGGAACAGGTGGAAAGCTAGTAAATTCTTTCAAGTGCTAATGAGTAGATGCCACTGCAACACCCAATTTGCAGGTCGTGTGGCCATCTTGCTCTGTAGCAGTGGTCCTGACACATCCAAGAGGCAGCCACATAAAAACACCAGCCTCCTTTTGCCTTTCAAAGCCATTAATGATGCAGCAAAAACTTGCACATGCACGCTTATGAAGCTGTTGGAAGTGGCCGCTCATAAGGTGATGAACTTGTTCCCTTGCATGTCCACTCAGTTTACCCCGCTCTACTCTTAAGCCTTGTCTGTGCTTATCTGGAAGGTTGAATTAAATATGCGCCTCCAACTACATTAATTGTGTAACTGGAGTCAATGTATCTTAATTCAACCTTCTGCGCTGCCTCCACAGCAGGAAGTCAGCGGGAGCAAATGCTCCCGTCAACGTGCCTTACTTCTCACGAATCAAGGAGAACTGGCATTGACAGGGGTGCCTTCAGCATTCAATTTACTAGACCCACTAAAATGAACTCTGGAAGATCGACCATTGCAATGTTGATCTTTCTGGTAATGAAAACATGACCTTAGAGAGGTTAGCTTGATCCATGTCTGCTTCTGCACTCAGAATCCCTCCTTGTTTGTTGTTAATGTGACTTTGCTTAGTCTTCTAATATGTCTCTTGAACTGTCTGTGCCAGTGCCTTGAGTGCCACTTTTGGAGCGAGTAGGTGAAGATTACCAAATATTTCAGGAGTCAAGGCTCTTTCAGTAAAGAAATAATGAGAGTTGGACTAGGCTTGGAAGTTCAGTTTTGGGGTGAACATCATTAGCTTTTGCCCTCTGAATGGATAATCTGTTATGGCAGATTGGGGTGGGAAGAGCTATTCCACAACTCTCGGAGCACTAGCTGCAAACTGAAGGTTTTGTGCCTTGCTGCAAAATGAAAGGCAAAGCAGAATAAGAAGGCTGGAAAGAGCATAAAGCAAAAACATGTGCACCAGCCTGCTGTTCCCAATTGTAAAGTAGCGGGGGCAACCAGCCTCACTCCCTGCTGCGTGCACCTGGCCATGTGTTCTGCTGTAAGTTACTTCCCAAAGAATGGCCAGGGTTTGAGTCACAACTTAGAAACACATCCTGCTTTCTATTAGCTTCCTTATTTTTCCTGCCTAGGTTGTGTAGGAGCATGATTCAGCTGTTGAGAGGTTCAGATTACTGAAGTGTACTGCTCCCAGCCAGCCAAACAATCATTTCAATTTGAGATGTGGACATGCCTGTGAAAGGATCGGTCCCCAGTGATACATAACTCTTTGTTAATCAGTAAATGCTAGCTCCCTCCCTGCCTGCCTCTCTGAAACCCATAACTAATTTTATTCTCTAGTCTATTCTTTGTGCTGAGGCTGAGACCTAACACCTGGGCTACGTCTAGACTGGCATGATTTTCTGCCAATGCTTTTAACAGAAAAGTTTTTCCGTTAAAAGCATTTGTGGAAAAGAGCATCTAGATTGGCACGGATGCTTTTGCGCAAAAGCATTTTTTGCGGAAAAGCGTCCGTGCCAATCTAGACGCGGTTTTGGGCAAGAAAGCCCCAATCGCCATTTTCGCCATCGGGGCTTTTTTGTGCAGGTGCTTTTGTGGAAAAACTTGCCAGTCTAGACGCAGCCCTGGAGTCTTAGTTTTAAAGGCTCTGGCACTGCTGCAGAGCAACCTCTGCCTTGTGCACTGGTGGTGTTCTGGCCATTGTCTGAAACAAGGAGAATCAGAGATAAGGGCAGACGCACAAGCAAGTTTCTTATTGAGCTCTGTTAAATCTTCCTTCAAGAGATCACTCAGTGATGGGGAGATGAGGGAAATGGATGTGGGAAAGAAGGGTGTACAAGTCTGCAATATGCTATTAAACAGTTATTCATGTAAAGGATATGAACTATATGGAGGAACATTGTATAGCACATTGTGACTGCTACTGTAATCAGAAAAATAAAGGATAGCAAGGAATCAGTACCTTGGGTCCTGTATGTTAGAATTCTGCATTGTCTTGGACTATGAGGACTGTTTCCCTTTGAATTGGTATATGAAGTTCTCTGGAGTGTAAGGAAGAGCACAGACTCATGAACAAATTGCTTTGGTCTTTATGTTGTGGATTTTTTAAGCTTTCTGAAGATGCTTGCTTTGGATTTTCTTCTTATTTCACCTTTGTTTATTTTTAGGATGTTTGCTTCTGTGTAGCATGCTGTGCTGTTTTTGCCCTCTCTACAGTATGCTTTCATCCCTTTTCCTCTCATGCATCCCCTAGGATGCTTCAGAACTTGGTGTATTCTCCTTTCCTGACCTTAATCTCTCGGTCTCTGTGAATATTTGTATCAAACAAAAAGTTAAGGAACAAGACTTGAAGAAAACAGGTTTAAAAACAAGAGAGTTTTATTACAGAAATGGAAAAGTTTGGAATTAAAAAAAAAAACATTGCACAGACTGCAGATTTGTATTAAACACTGTTCCAGTTTCCAGTATGAATAGTCAACATATATAAGGCATCTCCCAGGAAATCTTTATCTCTCCTTCTGCATAAGATAGAACATTTTAAATTAGGCTCAAGCTCTAAGTGAATAAAAATAGATATATTAACTATAGCCATCTTCTTTCAAAATATTCAAGCAACAGTGTGGCTGCAGGAGGAGTCCTTTGTTAACAATCCTTTTCAAGGCACTCTTACATGAGGAAATGGAATGCACTGGGTTTCGGCATGAAATCTAGGCAGTACTTACAAAAAATACTCCCCCTCCCCAAAACCTTGACATTCTTGGGTATGGCATCCCACCAGCAAGTGAAGGTTTTTGTACCTTTCTAATTTTTTCTAGCACTTGAGGATTCTCTGGCTTGCATTAGAGCTCTGCTCCCATACACATTGCTTTGAACTTTCAATAATATAATGAATAAAGTGCTCCTTTTCTTCTACCCCATCCTGACACTACCCCATCCTGACATATGGGCAGCACTGCAAAATTTACAAGAGGCCTTCTCTGGTGTGTTTTGCCTCTCTCTTAAAGTATCGAATACTGGTCACAGCTGCTGGCATTAGAGCTAACTTCATGGACCAGAGGTCTGATCTAGAGGGAGTGGATAATCCTATACTTGTAAACCATAAAGCAGAGTGTTAAATATTTCCCACATCTGGATTCTCTTTAAGTAAAAACAGAAAGTTAAAAGCAGCTGGAAGTTAAGGATCAAGAATCATAAAATAGAGATTTGATGGAGTAAAGCTTTAAATACAGCTTGGGTTCCAGACACAACACAAATCACTCAAGGTTGCTTCTTTTAGTAAATAAGTAGTAGTATCCAGGATCCTTTACTGTTTTAGAGCCACACACAATCTCTATATTATTTGATCCCTTGTTTACTAGCACCTTCTATTAACACATCTTTTTTTTTTCCAATTAAACATTAAAGGACTCTTCCTCTCTTGTTTTATGGAATACAGTGTCAATGTTAAAAGGCTTCTTGCTATGTTTACTCCCTGTATACTCCTTGTCTTGCTGATACTGTGATGAGGTGGCATAAAATGGTCCTCCAGTGTTCCAAGAAGAACACTGGTAAAGGTGAAAATCAATTCATTGCAGCTCAAAGACCTGCATTCTAGTCCCTCGTGTGTTTTCTAGTGTAGATCTCCCTCCTCCACATAGCCTACAGCAGATGGGACTCTCCCTGGAAGTAAAGTCTTGCATAGTTTTCCTGTGACTAGTGGCCAGAAGGTAATGAGACTCCAGGAAAGAGCAAGTGCAACATGCAATTACCTAAAGCAACCTAGCTTTTCCTATATGAGGAGCATAGGTCAAATAACATGCACTGAATGAATGTCTGTCTCATTGTGAATATTTCCAAGAAGATGACTGAAGGGTTTGAAATAAAAGCCCATTGCTTTGTTTCTTGGTCTTGCTTGGCAAAATTCGTATCTAACCTCAATTAATCTAAACACTATCGAGAGGGGAAAACTGAGGGGAAAAGCCACGTGTTTCTTAAACTCTAACCGGTCAAACAATAGGGGCAACCCTGTAAGTCCCAGTACTAGTGTAACCACAACATATCCTTCCTGAAGATGCTGCTACTGCGGGATGTGGCCATTCTGTATCCTGTTTAGAGGATAGGGGGCAGGAGGGAGTTCTTTAAGAAAAGAGAACTGGGCTGAGCCATAGTAATGGTGCCTTTCCCCTCTCCCGTGTTTGCCTCAGAACTAATGTGTGATGCATAGTCAGTGTATATATAGCCTTTGCATTTGCACAACTTCTAGATGAAGTAAACCATTTCAATGGCTGGTTTTGAGATTCCAGGCTCTTTCCCCTCAGAGCAGCATTGTCACCTTAGCTTTACAATTGTGTGTTGGTTCCCCCTAGGGTTTGAAATCCTCTGGCCGGATCTTCATCTCAACTCTTTTCAGGGAGTAGGTTGAGCCATGCCAGCCATACCAAGTGATTCCATCCATGTTTTTGGTGTGTTCTCCTTTGCGATAGTAAACCCCATTCAGGTTGGAGTCTGTGCAACAGTTGTACCAGTATCCACCTTGCAGGAAACAAACAGAGAAAGTCTTTGTATAGGTAAAGCTGATGTTCTGTGTTCATCATGTGAACAATTGTCCTTCTGTAGGGAAGGAGTAGGAGAGGGGTCAGGGTGCAAAATTCATTCTGAATGCCTGTGCCCTTGGTAGCTGCCATTACTTTGGGCCAGGAGCTAAATTCAAAGCATACAGTCTGCTGAGCCCTTCTTCGAAGAGTTCAGAGATGCAGTGAACAGGGCAAATTACCCCAGTGATGTAGCCAAATTAGCCCAGTGTCTCTGTTTAAGTTCTTTTCTAAGGCACTTGATGCACCTTTAAAAATTTCATTTCCATTTTTTCCCTCTCTTCACTCTTTGAAAACAAAAGAGGACACTGTTCAGTGTTCTTAGCTGGTTGGCTCTAATATGCATCTAAATACAATTTATCTGAAGGTTTACTTTGCAACTAAGGCAACAGTGAAAGTATAACAGCTGAATTCAGAAACTTTTCTTTTAGGGACTGTAATTGCTTCACCATAAAGCCTACAGAAAGGAAGACTGTCCTTCTACATATTGGGGCTGTATTAAGAAATTTAAATTAAAAGAGTGAGTTCAAAAGCACTCAGTTACCTTGGTGATGATGAGCGTAATATAAAAAGCTGAATAGAATATTCCATCTAAAGGCTCTCATTACAGCATGAATAGAGCAGAGCTCGAGGTGCATGAACCCCCAGATAAAAATAATTCTACAAGTTACTGCAGCCCATATTTTATATTTATTATAATACATTTATTTTGTGCCTTCCAGCTTTAACTTAATATAAAAATACAGGGGTAATTTCGTCCACCTCTGGGATAGCCAAACAGATAATTGACGCACGGTGTACTGAACAACTGTGTGGGTAGATCAAAGATTGGAGCAACCCTGACTCCTATAGAAAGTGCAGAGAGATCACTGATGTCAATAGCACACGGTGTGGCTCTGCATAGATTCTGTTTCAATTCTTAGACGTGACAGAATCTATGGTAAGTGACATGCATATTCCAGAAACAGTCATCAGTTCACTGATCTACCATCAGCATGTTAGTGTAGCACAATTGATCAGTTTCTCTGTGCAGCCATGATGCCATCCATATGCTGCATATAGTGTGGTTCGTTCAAACACTTGCCGAAGAGGAATCTCTGCCTTACCTTTACGGAGCTCAGCACAGTGATCCACACACTTGTCGTTGTCCTTGTCCTTGGTGCTGAAGGCTGTGTTGTTGTGGTACCTTAGGGAGTCGCGCCCTGTGTTGCCAGTGTAGTTCCCCAGAAAAAGGCGGTAACTGTTCAACTCGTTGCTTAGGGTGAACTGGTCATATTGTGCATAGCGAGTGTTGCCTTCCCAGTCCTGCCATGGGGGATTAAAGGGGCGAAGAGGAAACAGATTGTTAAAAAGAGTACTAGCCAGACTTTGGCAGTTGTGTTTACCTGGGAGGCATCTCTCTTCTCTACCCAGGAATGTTAGCTGAGTTTTCAATAGTAATTTCTCTTTTAGAATAGAGACTACAGACTTACCTGCAGGACTTGATTAGGGCAAACTGTAATGAACAAATTTTCACTTAGCACAGCAGTGAATTACCAAGGCATCATGTTTGTTAGCTGGTCTGCATTGACATTAAGCTCCATATGCAGAAATCTGGTACACTTCCTTTCCATCCAACAGCCTTATCTTAAATGTGAGCTATCTCAAGTTGTTGTTTCCTCCCTCAGAGTGACTTTTAGTTTCTGTGGAAGCCCCACAAACCAGAATATTGTCCATTACCCCATGCTCATCTCTCAAGGCCATACGCTTACAGCTACCATTTTTCCCGCCATAGACAGATTAATAACTAGCCAGCCATTAAAAGATGGGAGAAGCAGCTACTGAACAATGCAGAGCACTCCCTCCTGCCCATGTGCTGTCTCAGCAGCCCTCCTGTTCAAAGAAGTGAGCTTAAGTCCCTCTAATCGTAATTGGGCAACCCTGTGGATCTTTAGATCCCTATAAGATAGTCAGCAGCATAAGCCTTTTGCCCTGGGCTATGACTTTGTTCACCTCAGTGATGGACAGAATTTACCTGAGAATCCTAGAGTCTGTGGCTCACGCATGTTCCAGTCTGTATCCCAGTCGAGGTGCTGTTACACCAACAGCAAACACTGGGAAATATGCTTCTGTCCTGCCCCTAATGTTGCTGCCAAGTCCATCTCCCATTAGTCTTTCTAATCTAAATATGCAAATCCTTTGGCTTTCTGTAGCTGTTAAGATTGCACTTTCTACCAAAGAACCATCGCACTGGAAGCTTTTACTGCTGGAAATGAGAGCCTGTAAATTACCTCCAGCTCTACTCGCAGCATGGTTGGGCGTCTGGAGAGCCGGTAGACATTTTCATTCCCTAGCCAGAAATCTCCCCGGATGTTGCCGAATCCTTCCTTATATTGTTTCCAATCTCTGTTGAAAGAGATCAGGCCAACTTTACGTCTCTGGATGATGGTCCAGCCACCGCCCTCTGTTTCCATGTCGCAGTACACCTGGAGCAAGAGAGGATTCAATGCTGACCAGTCAGCAGGGTTACGAAGTCCCACTTCCAATTCCATTGTATACAAGATCACAAAGCAGGGCAGGACACTACCCCAAACCTTATCTGTCCAAGGGTTTTGTTGGTTTGTGCAAAGAGGCATAAAAATCTGATTTGTTCTGAACCTTTCTCCAGTATACCCTCTCCATCCCTACCATACAAGATCCTGACTTGGTGCACTGCAGGGATTTTAAATGTAAAATGCCATCTCCCTCCCTCCTACGGTGTAAAAACGTGACTTCATGATAAGTGTTTTCAGAATGCACAGTACAGAAGAAGCTCTGCTAGCAAAGGCGTGCATTTTGCATGCATAGCATCCTTACCTCTATTTCAGGGCTCCCCAAGAATTCATCAGGAGGCAGCTTGTAAACACCGGAGATTCTGTAATTCTTCTGGTAAAGGGATGAGCAGTCATAGACAGCATCTACTTGAATCAAACACAGGAACTGAGAGGCTGAACAAGAGGGCCACCTCCTGCATGTGTACCCTCAAAGGTTTTAACATGGTTCTTGAGAGAAACATTCAAAAGGGTCATTTGGTTGTATTTCCAGTGAAGCGTGAAACAGTGGGAAAAACTCCCTGAGGTGTGATGTGTGCATGGGGCTGCTCCCCTACTTATGAGCTGTAGGGCAGCAGTGCTGGTGCTGCTCAGGGTTGCATGTGAGAGAGAGGTTGTAGTGTTGGGACTTTTGGAGCTTGATGTGGGATTTCTAAGCCTTTTGTCTTGAGCCCCCAAACAGAAAATTCTCCTTCTAGGAACTCAGAAGCCCTTGCAATGAGACACTTGTTAAAATGAGAGTTCTGATCAGATTGGTGCTGAATGGTGGATATGAGGCCTTGAAGCAAATCACAAAACCCCACTGCATGTATAGGGTTAGGGACGATATTAGCAGGTGCTGAAATAATCCAGTACTGCAACAGTTAGAAATATTGTCATGCACTTTAAAAGGTCTTTCCACTGCTCAAATGAAGCTCTCACCCTTTCTGTGGCTGCTTAGCACAATAGGATGGAATTAATATTATGGCACTCAGGAAAATGCTGAATGTAAATTGCCATCTCTGGCTTTGAGATAAAATATACAAAGCAGTGGCTCTTTGCTTGGCTTTGGAGGGCAGTATTAGCACTTTACAGCATGCAGTGTTCCCTTTCCTCCCGCCCATCAAGGGAAAGCAGCACACTCCTGCTCTGAAGAGAGGAAATACCTGGTGCTCACTGGTGAGCCCTCTGGCCTCCTCGGAAGCGATCAGGGGATGACAGAATGACCAGGCTGTTCTGATCATGTGATTTGGCAGTTTAGCTGAGTTTGAATAAAACACATTGCACAATAGTTTCGGTGTCGTGGCTTGTGATGGGGAGATAGCATTTAGTTTATTTGAATCTATCTTGCCAGCTCCCCTTCCTCTCTGGATAGGAATTGATGGAGGGCAGATAGTGCACACAGCTGCTTTTATGGGAGGGGAGAGGAGTTAGCTGAGGTGAGGATTTATCCCTGCTGACTTTTTTTTTTCAGTATATTGCTGGGTGAATGATTTTCACCTGGTAGCATGACTTCCCTGCATCTGGCAGTTTAAGTCCCTACTTGGCTGGCTTTCTGTGTGCTGCTTTATTTCACAAAACCACATTGCAGCATTACTATACCCCAATGAGACTCATTACAGTAAAACCTTTGTGCTTATTTAAGACAATATAAATAATGAGCATTGTTTCCAAACTGACAACATTACACATTTTCCTTATGTAGAGCTTAGTAAATACTGGTGGTTTAAGTTTTTTCCATGGAAAACAGACCCCAAATTAAGATGTGTAGCATATAAACCCCGCCCAAGGCATAGTAGTCTTTATAGGGGAGTTTAACCTTGTTGGAATGGTCTCCCTCATTATTTCCAAAGCATATATGCTGTCAGACTTTCCTGTGTTGCCATACCAGAGAAGGAGGGAGAATGTTCTGCTCCTGAAATATATTTTGAGAGAATTATATCAGGGCTTTTGCATACTCTACAACCTTGGATTTCTGAGAATTATTATTCAAAAGGAGTTGGTTTTTTTTATTTTATTCTGGCTAGACAAGCATAAAGATGGCATTGCATCTGCAAAGGTGGTTAGAAGTGCCTCCTATTGTTTAACCAACCTCTGAGCCCCTACCAACAGTCTGGATGATCAGGGAAAATTATTGCCAGAGACTCTCCCATGCAAACTGCCTGCCTCTCTGTGTAGATTGAGACCCTAGTACTTGCGGGAGGGTATTAAATGAGTCCATCCCCCAGCAATTGCTGGATTTGTACTGCTCCCGCAACTCCTAACAGCAATCCTGTCTGATATTAAACTGCTAACTGGATCTGTGGATTTCTGGCAAAATAAACCTGTCAGCTTTATGTTCTGTTGTGTCTGCAGAGCTGCAGTGGGTAGACTGGCATTCAGCAGGCACAGTCCCCAGCTGTGTTAATGGGACATGCTAGCATGGTTTAAAAGTTGGTGGTTAGCTAGAGCTCTACTTTAAGAGGCGCGTATGGGAGCTTGGAGGCTCCATTCTTACCAGCTGAGGTTTGTGTGACGGTCTGGGCTGCCTGCAGCTGCATGTTGTCTATCTGGCTGTTAATTTCAGAGTATTTGCTCTCGACATCGATGAGCCGGGACTCCATCTGCTGGGTGCTCCCTTTCAGCTCCATCACCTGCATGTCCACAATCATATACCCAACTTCCTGCTTCTTGCTCAGCTCCCCCAGCATGGCGCTCACGTTGGCTATCTGCAGCTTGAGCTCTCTTATCTCGTCACAGCAGCCCGTCATTTTGAGCTGGGTGTTCCCATTGACCGTTCTCCTCTTGGAAGGCTTCTGTAGCAATGCCGGATAGATGGCCAAGGACAAGGTGAAAACACAGAGCCATGCCAGTTGCATAGTGACTTTCACTGGCATTTTCTCTCTCTGCAGTGAGAACTCCTGACTTCTCTGAGTGAGTTAATTGCAGATGCCGTGAGCACAGTGGGGCACCTATGAAACTCTTCTGAAAGTGCTACAGCACACGGGTGCCCAAACTCTGTTTCTCTCCCCCCTCTCTCAGTGGAGGTGGAGTTTAAAGGAACTTCTGCAGCCCTTCCCCGTAGGAGTCTGTGCACTCTGGAAGTCTCTGTCTCCGCATCTTAAATATCCTTTTTCTCCTGTGTACCTCCACCCCCCTGCATCCATACACAGCATTCAAGCCCCTCCCAACTAATCTGTTCATATCAAGTGCCTACCGGCTGAAATCAACACAGACTTAGGCCAAAGAAAGGGTGGGGGGAGACTTCCCTCCACTCAATTCTGCCCTGAGGGATGGGAGAGAGGGCTAGGAATTTATGGGAGTTTCCTACTGGGTTTTAGCCCTTTCAGTGACTGGTAGAACAGAGAACATAACAGCATTGGAGGTCAGGACACAAGAGGGCTCTCTAACTGGGGTGATTTTGTAACAGTTTGAACAAGGTGACTCTGGGGAATGCTCCTGGCTCTGACAGTCCTATTTAAAGTATTCGGCATGAGCTGTATCTGGACTTTTTTGTTTTGTTTCAATATAGACACCATTTTAGCCATACCTTCCTATTAGCGGCTAATCTTCCTCTCTCCAGAGAATCCATCGTTCCTGGAATATGCATCTTGTAGAATTTGGAATTGTTCATTTTAGAGAGGAGATGACTAAGAGGGAGTAGAGAATGATGCCTGTTTAGAGCAGGTAAATCATGTTCCTCTTTTTACCCTTTCTCATAATGCAAGAGTAATGGGCTTAAAGTGCAGCAGGGGAGGTTTAGATTGGACATTAGGAAAAAATTCCTAACTGTCAGGGTGGTCAAATATTGGAATAAATTGCCAAGGGAGTGGTGGAATCTCCCTCTCTGGAGATATTTAAGAACAGGTTAGATAGACATCTGTCAGGGATGGTGTAGACGGAGCTTGATCCTGCCTTGAGGGCGGCGGGCTGGACTCGATGACCTCTCGAGGTCCCTTCCAGTCCTATTATTCTATGATTCTAAGATCATGGGGACGTTCTGTGACACTGAAAAGCAGCACTTTTAACACTGACAAAAGGAAATGCTTTTTTTACCCAACATATGATGAGCTGGTGTTGAGGCCAGAATTCTAACAGGATTTTGAGAAAGAATTAGATATTGATGTGGATAAATAGTGCAACCAGAGTTTTATATGTAATATAGGATTTAAAATTAATTTTATAAACCCTCATACATCAGGGTAATAAAACGAACATTAGCTGTTGGGATTAAGGAGAACCTTTCCTTACCATAGATTATTCCATAACTGTCAACCACAAGGATTCTCCCTCTGAAGCATCTGTGGCTCGCTGCTGTCAGAGGCAGGATAAGGGAATAGATGGACCAGGAGACTTACTCAGTCTGGCTGCTCTGATGGCAAATGTCATGGAGGCCTGATTTTAAAATAAACAAATAAATACATCTTTGCTTGTGCCTGATGGAAAGAAAGTATGGAAGACACAATTGAGTCATCTTGTTCTACACAGAAGTCGCTCACTGACTCTGTAAAAAAGCAATGAACATAATTAAAACCTTATAGTCCCTGATGCATCTTGGACCTGTGGAAACATAACTTGCTCCAGCACTCAGCTTTTACTCCTCAGCCTTCTTAAACTTACTGCTAGAAGTTTTGCTTGTAGGGACTGATGAACTTGCCAAGCAGCTAGTAACTTTTCATCAAAGCAGCAGCAGTGCCCTGCTGAGCACTTGGGCGGCCACCCAGGAGAAATGCAGATGCTGCCCAGCTCATTAGCGGAGTGCCCACTGCCAGCAGCATGTGTTTCTGTTGGTGGTGCACAACTGCATATAACAAAAATTATTCTGCACATGGATGGAAAAAATAGAGGGTGCACTAAGAAGGGTGCAGAGAAGTGGAACAATGAAAGCATCAGAATGTTTGCAGAGATAAAGCATGGTGATACATCCTGCAGATGCTGTATTTCCCAGGGAGGGATGAGAGCATGCATAGAGATCTCTAAGTTCATAGCATGGTTGTCTTAGTGGCTGATCCCTTCTGTGTGCTATGCGTAGGGCACACCGCTGCCATATGAGGTATCAGCAGGCAAAGGCTCCCATGTGTCCAACTCCCTCAGTCAGAAGTGACAGGTATTGTTCAGTCAAAATACAGCAGCTGCCTCTCCACACCAGAGTGTTGACTGTTGCTTGTTTTCCGTTGTTGGCATTTCAAGAACCTTCTATAGCAAAAGTGTGTTTTATACCACAAACTACCATGACCAAAAGTCTGACCTTTTTGTTATGCATGTAATCCTGTCTGAGCCCTCTTAGCCAGAGCTGCTGTCTTTCCCTGGGGGCAAATTCTTGTCAGGCTGTGAGAGAGGAGAAACATGTTTTTGTCAAGAGCAGAGACCAATAGTGAAGTAGACTCTCTCCCCCTCTCCTCCTACCAAAAAAAGAAGTTGGATCTGAAGAAGTGGGTCTGGCCCACGAAAGCTTATCACCTAGTAATAAATTATCTTGTTAGTCTCTGAAGTGCTACATATTATTTCCTTTTGTTTTACCAAGACCAGACTAACACGGCTACCTCTCTGTTACCAAAAAAAGGGCATTCCTATTTGTACCCATGCTGTGGTTAAGCCCTTGTTGTTTTGGTAATTCTAACAGACTCTTGTATTTTTCTAAGCCAGTGGTTCCCAAACTCTTTGGCGTCACGCCCCCCTTTTTGAAACACACACACACAGCAGCAAAACTTGTTGAGCAAAAAAAAAAAAAAAAGGAACTGAGCGGGTCAGCATAACTTGATGGGCGGGGTTGGATCACCTCGCGCACACACCCTGGAATTTCTTCACGCCCCCCAGTTTGGGAGCCCGTGTTCTAAGCAGTTTTGAAAGCTGATCAGCAGTCCTTGGTCCCAAAAGTGCAGCCTGTCAGTGATGTGCCACTATTTGATAAAGGGGCATGTCCCACCTTTGTCGCTGTTCTATCTCCCTGAAACTCATTTGCATTTTTAAATGATCTTAGTTCTTGACTACATATTTAAGGCTGCCATAATATAAGAACCTCAAAAATTGGGAACAGGATAAAGATGGTGGAGGGTTACTTGGAGCATTGGGGGACACTGAAACAAATCCTCCTGCTTTCAGCATTGAAGTAATGAACAGATCCAATGTGCAGACAAATTCTTGCCTTCAGTCAGGAATTACAGTGCAGAAGGGAAACTAGTCCAGTGGTGAAGGCATTCGACAGGAGACCTAGACTTTATTGCTGGTCCTGCCCTGGAATTGATTCCTCTGAGTCACGTTACTTCGCCATTCTGTGACTCAGACTACAGAGTTTTTTTGGAAAAACAGCTGTTTTTCCAGAAAAACTTCACTTACGTCCACACTGTGATCGCGTTCTTTTGAAAAAAAATCGAAAGAACAGAGGGGTTTTTCCGACATTGGTAAACCTTTTTCTATGAGGAAGAAGCTTTTTTCCGAAAGCTTTTCGGAAAAAGGCATATGTGGATGGAGAAGAGGGAGTTCTTTTGAAAAAAGAGGGAAGAGGAAAAAGCACAGGTGCCCTGGTGGCCACTCTGTCTATAGTAATCAGAGCTTAAATGCGAGATTCCCATTCGGTGTGGACACTATCTTTCGAAAAAGTAGATTGCTTTTTCGATGCACTTTGGCACTGTGGATGCTCTCTTTCAGAATAAGTTGGTTTTTTTGGTTTTTTTTTTTTTGTTTGTTTGTTTTTTTGGAAGATCTCTTCTGGAAAAGCTTCTTCCGAAAGAAGCCTGCAGTCTAGACATAGCCTCAGTTTCCCAGTCTTTAAAATGGGGATGATGCTCAGTTTGCTAAACCACTTCAGCATCTATGCTATTCAAGAACTAGCAAGGTACATGTCTTAAGTAGGTAGACATGAACAGAGAAGAGGGCAAACCCTGAAAAACTACTTTTACATCTGAGGAAGCTTTAGAGAGATTTAGACAGGAGTTGTGAGCTTTTAGGGTAGAAACTCAGTTCTTAACTTCCGTTGGGCTTGCTTTCTTAGTAATTATTTGAAAAACTGAGTAGCAATCTCTAAAGCAGCAGTAGCTGTCACTGCTCAGTGCCAAACTCTAATTTGTTAGAGGCTAGTACCACTAGCACTTATTGGGGATTCTTGGAGTTGGATTAAAAGAATCCCATAAAGAGGAGAGCATCTGTATACTGGAGGTGTGGACTGGTACTGGACACAACTTATGAGTGCAGAGGGCTGGTCCCCAAACTCCTGAGCAGCTTCCAGATTTATTTTCCATGTTCTGTTGCATTCTTTTCTCCTTTCCAAAATGGACAGATTTCACATTGGAATTGAGAAACTGTTTGTCTAAAAGCATCTTCTTTTTTCCTTCTCTTATAAGAAGGGATCATAAACGAGCACTACTAGCAGGATTCCTTTTCACTGCAAATGGTGGTTTGTAGAGAAGTCCAGCACGTGACCCCATAGTCAGGTACGTAGATCTGTATGCTTGAGATGTGAGCCTACTATGAGAATGGCCATCATCTTGAGAACAAAATTCCCAGCTGAAGGGCCTCTTCTCAGGACAGGAGAGTTCAGCCTTGACAGTGCTTTGTGGTTAGGAAAAACAGGATTTCTGGGTATTTTTTTTTTCTTAAGAACATTTAGTTTCCACTATAGGAAATGTGAAGTATTGGGCATGTTTCACAATGCCACAGTGCAATTGATAATTAGAGTTTGTGACCTAGGCTTAGGGAAAAGAAAGGGATGTGTGGGTTCTTCTCAGATACACAGCTTTTCTGAAAGTAGGCTTGATGCAAACTGTGTGTATTCATCCCTTTCTTGTGCAGAAACATTAATTTCACCATCACTGGCTTTTTCTGCTTTCTTCGCTTCTTGTGTTCTTAATAAATTTGTTTGTCTTTAAGGTGCCACAGCACACCTCATTGTTTTTGCTGAAACACACTAACACGGCTGCCCCTCTGGAACTGTGTTCTTAATGCTTTATCATTTTGAGATTAAAGAGTGGTGAAAGGAATAAAATTACATCAAAATTTCTGCAGAAATCTCCAACAGATGGACAAAGAGCATTTGGCTTTGTAGCATGTCTTGAGCTTTAATTTTGCTTTCCTTGAATTCTTATTTAGGACCAGAACTGCTGATGTCCTGTTGGCACCAGGATCAGAAATGTACACGCTACTTCTGTGCTAGCCCCAAGCAGTGGGGCTTGGGCTTCGGCCCTGGACTCCACAAGTCTAAGCCAGTCGTAGCAACTAGGGATGTAATTGTGTAGTCGATTAACTGATAAGCAAAAGCTTATAGGTTAATGCTATA